GCCACAGTCCCCCCACCCCAAGACAGCCCCCATATAAAGCCCAAAGGCACCTAGGAAGGGACTCACCTGCCCACAGGCCCAGGTGGCTTTCTCCCTGCCTTCGCCCTCCAGTGGGAGATGGAAAATGAAAAAACCATTGCTGTGGAGTCAATTGTGACTCCTGGCCACCCCACGTGGGTCGGAGCAGGACTGTGCTCCATTGCTTTCTCTGTGGCTGATTATTTGAAACTAGATTGCCAGGCCTTTCTTCTGAGGGGCCTTGGGGTGGACTTGAACCTTCAGCCTTTCAGTTAGCAGCGGAGCCTGTGGGTTAGCAGTGGAGCCCGTGAACTGTGTGCACTATCTAGGGACTCCGGAAAGAAAACAAACCTCACAAATCCCTCTTCTGTGGCTGCAGAATAGTTCGTAAGCTCTTGCTTTGGGAACCATTGCAAAAAGGCTGCCTATTGCCTCTGTGATCTCAGGAAGGGTGAGTGTTCTTGATGACAGGAGAATGACATCTTAATTGTCCAGGGGCAGCCACTCATCCCAGGAGGCTGGCAGTGAGCTGCCATAGAAACAGAATTACCAGTTGCCACTGCCAGCCGCCAACTCTTACTGGCCACGTCTGTCACCAGCAGCCAAGTGTCCACCTGCAGATGCCTCAGCTTCAGGTGGAAGCCAGGAGCACAGTGGCCCTTGGGCTGTGCAGTGGGAGGAGGGGCATGAGATCCTGGGCCCGGGGTCGCTTCTGGAACCATTAAGGGCCCTGTACTCTGCTGGACCGGCCCAAAGGCTGCGGTGAGTAGTTAACCAACCTTTGCATGCATTGGAAGAAACTGTGGTGGCACAGTGGTTAAGGCATTTGGCTGCTAACCAAAAGGTGGGTGGTTCAAACCCCTCAGCTTCTCCACAGGAGAAAGATAGGTTAGTCTGCTTTCGTAATGATTTACAGCCTTGGAAACCCTACTCTGTCCTATAGGGTCACTGAGAGTAAGAATCAACCAGATGGCAATGGGTTTGGTTTGGTTTGGTTTTTGCATGCGTTGGAGTGCTAGGGTCCTCACTCTGACTGCTTCCCCATCATACCCCACTCCATCCAGTCCCCCTCTCTGCCTGGAAGCATGGTCCTTGTCTGAGGACATTTTCATGGGTGCTCCCAGCCCTAATCCTCTCTGAACTTTACCTCCCAGAGAACCTCCAGCCCTGGGAAGAGGTGGTGGCGACGGAGAGAGGGCTCTATGTGCCCTAACGGAGGAAAGAGGGGAGGGGAGAAAAGGGCCACTCTGACCCTGCAGAGGCCCTGGCATCCCAGAGCAGCCTGGTGGGCAGGGCTGCCACTTCCGGCCCCATGAAGTTTTGGGTTGTTTTGTCCTGTGTAAATGTCACTTAAAATCAACCTTCTAGTCTTGCAACCCTTCAGCATCAGGGCCATTGATGGTGGGGGTGGTAGAAGCCACCTTTCCCAAACCTCCCGTCACACGGATGGCTGTGACTTGCTCAGTGTCACTCAATCTCAGTCTCCTGTGGTCTCTTTTTCTAATTGTTCTCACCATCACTCATAGAGCAGTGTCCATTTAGCATCTGGTTAAGGAGCAGAGGGCGGATTCCAGCCAGGGGTCTGGATGTTAGGAAAGAGGAAACAAGACCAAACACTACTGTCTGTGTACTAGGCACTGAGCTGGATTCACATACGGGGCAGCGTCAGCTGCTCAATTATACACACAAGGAACCAGAGGCTCAGAGACATGAAATCACTTCCCCAAGGCCACACCACATGCAACGGTGGGCTTTGACCCTAGAATCCTCCGACTCTAAAGTCTGACTTCTCCTGTAACACCACACTGCCCTCAGTGGCTGAATGGCACCTCCAGGCACACTTGAACCAGACTCTGAGTCCACAGAGGCCATTCCCCAAGGTCCATGTCACCGTGTGGCCTCGGGAGCTCCTCTTTCCATGGGGAAAGGCCTTGGCCCCCCTTGGACTAGGGCAGGTGTTTCCCTGCCTGGTGCTCTCTTGCCTGACCTCAGGAGTGGTGTCTGGGGTGGTTAAATGCTGGCCCTGTGTAAGGCTGAGCACAAGTCTCCCCATAAAACCCCTGAGAGGCCCCAGAGACCAGCTTTCCTAGGGCACACACAGTCAGGGACCCTCTGGCTGAGCCCAGCAGAGGAGTCCACATGAAGCATGATTCACCTCAGCCTGAACTGTTGCGTGGAGTCAAGGGGCCACCAGTTCTGCAGGTCTGGTCCCCACTGGGCTCAGGCCTTTCACTGAGCCCTGGAGCCCTGCAGAGAGGGGTGGGTGGAGGCTCCCCTTGGCCTCAGTCTGATGCTCCTGTCTGGCTTCTCCCTGGATGAGTTTGGCCGCAGAGCCCCCCTCGATTTGACGAGCCAGTGCTGAGGAAAAAGTGAGCTTACCTCTTCATAAGCTGCCCCTTGGACAAGGGTCGTGCATTTGCTGGAAATGTGCTTTGAACATGCCACTCTGTGACCTTCTATTTCCCTTCAGCAAGCCCCATTGAAAAAATAAAATAAAAAGCATCCAGTTACCATCGAGTCGTTTCCGCCGCGTGGTGACCTCTGTGTGTCAGAATAGGACTGTACCCCATGTTTTGTTTCTGTCTGTATGTGGGACACGTTCCACTCAAGGGCAACATGCCTTCTGGGAGGTCCTGAGTCCCTGGAGGCCTTTGAGGGAAAGGTTCCGGGGCGGAGTGTTCCAGGGCCACTGGAACCAGCCCTGTGGTCAAAGGACTCTTGACTCCTGTAAGGGCCAGATAATCACACAGCTGTCCCTACTCTGAGTCATTTCTTTCCAGCCCCTTTTGCATGAAATCAAGGTCAGGAGGCAACTGAGACTCCCCTGCCCCAGGGAGAGATGATTGCATCTCTACGCATCCCCAGGGCCCCAGGAAGAAAGGCAGACAGGATGACAGCTAGTGCCACTTAGCCGAGTGGCAGCAGGCCCTTTCCAACCCCGTTGTAAATGGAAAGCTTGGATGGCAGCCAGAGCCATTAACGAATGTCATGATGCCGCCCTGGCTGCTGGAGGGATGCACTGTGTCTGCCGTCTGTGCCCCTGCTGCCTGCTTTCTCCAAGACGGATGGTGTTTTCCTTCTTCAGGGAGTGACCTTCATTTACTGGTATTAGTAGGAATATTCATAGCTATTATTCTTAGGGGTGCTGTTTATGGAGCCCCTGCCTCATGCTCTGTTCTATTTCCAACTCATTCAATCCTCAAAGCAACCGTAAGGGTGAGGGTACAGAGGGCTGCATATTAATTATTACCCCATTTTGTGAATAAACTGAGGTCAAGTGGTGTGCCCGAGGGCCTGCCTCTGCGGAGTGGGAACTGGGGCTCAGACCCAGCACTGGCTGCCTGGCTGCCCTACATCTTTCACCAGCCTCGTTAGCAGTCAGGTCCATCCCTGGGGTGGTGGCTGAGGCTGAGGTTCATGTCCTGGAGAGCCTACAACCAGAACCCTATCTCAAGTGTAGTTCCCAGAAAAAGCCATTTC